ATCCGCGTTTTAAAGTAAAACAGTAAGTATATATCTAATAAAAATATTGACCATTTAAATCCACGAAAGTTGAAGTGATATATAGGTAGTACAGTTCAAATAATTGATAGAATCAGGCGTTACTTTGCGGAAATCCATTATAATAAATAATTTATTACTTTGCAACCTTCCGCTAACTAATTTAATTTAGTTAGCTGAAGGTTGCAAAGTAATAAATTATTTATTACAGTTCAAATAAACTTATAGTTTACAAAGCACGTGCAACTGTATAATTGTTTTTCTGACAAACTTGTCTGTCGAATCTTTAAAACATTACTTATGTTTTATTATTTACTAATTTAGTATTCTTTTCCAGGTTGTTATATTAGACTTCCAGCATTTTTACGGATTCACGCTAGACGATCATCAACGACTTATGCGGTTTCTATTGAGCTTATTTGGACCGCGGCTTGTTCCAAGACAAATTGATATACAAAAAGTTACCCTTAACTCACTAGCGAGCTTAAATCAGCAAGTATGTTTTATATAAATTAATATCTTTTATCAAATAAAAACTTAATAAAAAGTACCTACTTAAATTGCCATTCAGTCTTACTCCTCGCGGTATAAGGCTAAGAACGCTGACTGCGTTTGATATAATAATATATAATTATACTCATAGACAAATTTAGAGAAACGCAAAAAAGTGTGTACATAAAACAAAATATCATGGATATTTGTGACAATTAAGTTGGATTTTGCTTATTACTCGTTTGCAAAAACGATCAAATTGACAAAAATTAACCAAATCAAGAAAAAAAAAGAAATATTAAAATTTATTAATTTTTATATACTATAATCAGTGTTGCCCACTCTCACAGCTCATTTATTTTTAACTTCCTGCTATGACAATCAATGATTTTCAAATAAATGGGGTTTACCTATTATTTTATAGGAGAGGGGGCAAACGAGCATGCGGCTCACCTGATGTTAAGTGACTACCGCCGCCCATGATCAACCGCAACACCAGGGGAATTGCAGGTGCGTTGCCGGCCCTTTAGAAAGGAGTCAGCTCTTTTCTTGAAGGTCCCCATGTCGTATCAGTCCGGAATAATCGCCGGTGGTAAACTATTCCACAGAGAGGTCGTACGCGGAAGAAAACACCTTCTGAAACGAAACTTTTATCACCCAGAAAATAAAAAAGTATATTTTTCTACTTATTCCGGATGACCAACCTTTTTCGACGGTTACCGCTTGGACTTGTACATGGGCAAGTACTGTCACTTGGTGCTCATGACCCGCGCCGCTATTTATAACACGTACGTGTTCATTTTTGTCGTGTTAGTGTTGGCGGTGCGCTTACCGTGTGCATTACGACATATATGCGGCATCATTAAAACATGAACATTGTGGTGGCCACTCGTTAGTTTGCTATGGATAATTTACATTTTACGTTTCGCATCTTTGATCCTACTTCCCGTACCATTCTGACGAATTAAGGTCCAGTGCAATCGAGATGGTATGTCTGCAATCTATCAGATGATTTTTCTGCATTCAGTCGATTAATACGACATCTGCCTAAAGGATAAGAATCAGGCTGCTACTAACAGAGGGTCTCGGTTAGGAACAGCTGTGTGAAAATACAAATCTCTTACATGGAATGTATAGGATGCATCAGACCTAGTGATCCTAGTGATACCCAATAATATCGCACTAGCGATACTTTGCACACCCGTAAAACTAGAACAACTGAGTGCTCCTGTCCTGTTTGCGCGTCTACCTGTGTCAGTAATAATCTCCTGACATAACTTAATTATTGCATAACTTCATCATCGTATTTTATTAGCTTTAATATGGTTGCAGTGCGAATAGTTCGGTTCGACCGGAGTAGGACCACGCTCTCATAGAATACCATCGTGAGAAAACAGCTTATCACTGCTGTGTCTCGTAAATTGAGTGTAGAAAAACGAAGACCTATTTTATTTATTTATTCAAAACTAAAATTTTAACACCTTAAAGTAAAGGGTGCATAGAGCGGACTTGGTGTCAACCCTAGGTGCCAAAAACAATTGTTGGCAAGTGCGAAACTTCGTTCTTATATAAAGGTTTATATATATATATATATATATATATATATATATATATATATATATATATATATAAAGGTGCGTTGGGGCAATACCGGACGGATTTTCGACTAGTTAAAAGAGTCTGGCAAAAAGTTTATTTTCTCGACATCCATATACGTCAGATTTCTGAAACATGGCGCAAATCGTTAATGCTTACGCGTAATTTAGCTATAAGAAACTTTTACTTTTCAAAACTCAACAGTTTCTGCTTAAAACAAGGCATAATTTTTTATATGCATGATGAAGAATTGGCCATCAAGAGGAAGACCGGACGTCGCTAAAAATCGCGAATAAAAGTGATAGGGAAAGACCGGACAGACGAAAAAATTCAAAAATTACCTTGTTTTATAAAATACTGCGCAGCACACGCCCTACTTTTCGGAGCGACTGGCTAAAACTTGGGGTCGGGGCAGAATAAAATGGAGTCTTGTACCATATTGCTAGCTTTCAAAAATATAGCATAATTCACCGGAAATTTGAATTTTACGGTCTTACCCCATCACCGATCTTGCCCCTATGCACTATATATATATATATATAATATATATATATATATATATATATATATATATTTTTTATATATATTGATAACGAGGCATTCTATCCTAGTGCTCAGGGTTGACAACACATCCGCATTTTGATTCTTAATCGAGGATATCTATGGGCCACAGTATCCACTTACCCTCAGGTGAACTTCGTGCTCGTGTAACTTAATAATTGTTTGGTATAACAATTATTAAGTTACACGAGCACGAAGCTATCCTCCCTAAAACGAAAAATGCCAATTTCTAGCAATAGACTTACGGGCTGATAAAAATTAAGAAATTATTCTAATTTCTTAGAACCAGACCTCAAAACAATTCACGAGTATTTTACCGTTAAAGCCTATTAAAGTCCATTGATAAATTTAGGCCTCCCACCATAGATTGTCTCAGGAGGGATAATTGCCACGTTTCGCAGGCTGGTTCGCAACCGCAGTTTTTTCTTATTTTTAGTTATTATTAGCGAGACGCAGCTGCCTATCCCCTAGTTTGTTTCCCCTGTCACCTCTTACGAAACCCACGGGAGAATATGGGGAAGAAGATATTCTAATACCGCGACTACACGGTATGCGCCGGTAAGAATACATTATAAGTAATTAATCATCTCATACAATCACTTTCAGATTGTAGTTGTATACCGACATCAATCAGTATATGCTACCCATGAGTTTTGGCAGCCACAAATGATGCCGTCCCCTTGGCCTCGACAAGAACAAGTCAGTGGTCTACTAAACTTCTTGCGTCATGTAAAACGACATCCTGGTATGGGATTCGTTCACCAAGTAGTATTGACGCCAACACCTGCTTTTATTTTCTTCAGGTATGGGGTTTGTACGTTGTAGAGTCACACTGCAGCTATATTATGGTTGTAGCACGATTGGGTTGGCTCGACCTGTTTAGGACCACGCCCTCAAAGAATACCAGCGTAAAATAGCAGCTTAACGCTGTTGTGTTTCGTATGGTGAGTGTGGAGAACAGGAGACCCTTTTTCCTGGAAACGAGGTATTCCATGTTAGTCCTCATGGGTGACAACGTATCTGCATTTTGATTCGTAATCGAGGATAGATGTAGAGGTCATTGGGCCACAGCATCTATGTACTATTAAGTGGACTGTGTGCTCTAAAAAAAAGGTAATGTAATTTGTTACGCCCTTTTCTCTGTATTTTATACATATTATATTTCTGAACAACATATAGTTGTATTACAATCCTCATCAGCCCATATAGAGTCCATTGCTGGAAGGTCCCATAGAAGGATATTCTTCTCTTAATGGGTGGATTTGTTATCCCAATACCACATGTCTCGCACCATTGAAGTTGCTCCCTATCGCCGTTCAGGAGAGATATTCTACATCTGGCATATTATCATCATCATTACAGCTTTCACCAGTGCACTGCTCAGTAACTTATACTTCCTCAAACTCACCCAAGGAATGCCACAAAGCAGGATCCTGAGTCACCTGCATCCATCTACTTCCTGCATATCTTACTAAGTCGTCACTCCATCGAATGGGGGAACGCCCTACATTTCATCTACCGGTACGAGTAATAATATAATTCAGGTTATAATATAGTTCTAATCTGTCTTGTGCATATACAAGACTTATACAACCATCTATAGGAGACCACGAGCTGTTCATTGAATTTTTGTCAATTGATTCTTACTAAACTCACAGTTTGATAGAGTATTGAACACTCTTAAGCTGTTAGCTCACAATGGCTGCGGATTACTTTTAACAATACATTACTTGTAAAAAAATTAGGTAGTTATTTATGTAAGCGCATATTATACAATACATTTATGAAAAAACAATTAGGCATTTAATTTCTTATTCTTTATAGATGGATATCCTCACTTCGTGAAAAATGTGCAATTCCTGTAAAAAATGAAGTTTTCCCGAAATTATTAGATTTCTCACCAGGACCACCGTTGACAAATGAAGCTTCCAAAGCACCAGTTAATGTAGTAATTGCAGACTTTGTTGAAATGGATGACTGTACATTCCCTAAAACTATCATACAACTCAATATGAAACTTTTAAAAAATGTTGACTTCGTTTATCACAACCATGGGTAAGAAAGACAGTTTTATCTAAAATATTCCAATTCTGATTCTATATCTCCTACCTGTACCTGCATTTAATTATTATTTTTTATTTTTTTATTAATTTATGAATGTATAATGTGATATTTCTATTTAATATTACTATTAAGCTAAATCCTAAAATGTATACATACATGCTTAATTATATATTTACATATATGATATTAAACAAACGTGCCTTGTAATTAAACAGAATTTGTTAATGAATAATAGCGTTTTTATTTCCATGAAGAAAAAATAAAACAGTTTACTTATTTGTTTGACCGAAAACTTTGTTACAAAATTCATCCAGTTGAATTTTTTCACAAAGATCTTTAAAGGACCATTTTTTATTTTTCATGTTGGTAGTATCACCGTCTTTCAATGTTGAAAATAATTGATTTGACAGGTCATCGGAAATTTCAATAATTCTACAAATCTTTTCCAAACGTGACAAATCGTCTAAGGAATTTGTCAATTCATTTATATAAATAACTTGTGATTGTTTTTCATTCATATGAAATGAATTATCTGAATTAGTTGCGCTTGTGCTATCAAGTTTATCATAGATATCATCATCATTCGTTTCGTTTACATCCTTGTATATTGATGTGTTTGTTGTTTCTTGACTTGGACGCAATAATATATTTCTAGATATTACTTGTTTAACAGCTAAATCGTTTTGTTTATCAACAATTCGTCTTAAAGTCTTACTTTCGTTTTGCACTGTTTTGACAGGCTGAAGATAATCTTCAGTCTTTCCAAATGTCACAGTTTCAATTATATTTTCTGCATTTTTATTTTCCAACACCGTAGTTATACCATCTCTACTAGTAATTGTGTTTCCTGCCTCCAAACTTTCATCAACTAAATATTGCTCTTGAATTTGTTTTTCACTTTTCTTCTTCGTAATTAAATGGCACTCATGACTCATCACATTAATGGGACTGGTAGGTATTTCATGAAAACTATATTTCTGAATATTATTTTTTGTTTTATATTCTTGTAGCTCATTTACTGCTTGTTCAGAAATAATTTCACTCGAAATACGGGATCTTGCATTTGATTCAAAAAAATCGTATAAAATTTTGACATGAATATTACTTTCCTCTTGTAATGCTATTCGATCATCACCTAAACAATAAAAAATAATAACTTGAAATGCAAATTATACAATTTACAGTTTACGTCTATAAATATTATGTTTATAAATTTACCTTCAATACATTCTTTACTTTTCTTATCAATTGTCAAATTTTTATCAACATTTTTAAGAATTATTGCTTCCGAATTTTGTGTTACTGCGTATTTATTTTCCTTATTTAAATACTTATTATCAAGTAAATTGTCCGTCTGGATTTTTGAAGCATTTTTATTAAAAATGTTATCATTATTCACATTTATTTTTATAAGATCTGGTTCTTTCTGTGATTCATTCAAATTATATTCTATTTTACTCTCACTAGAAACAGTCTTCAACCTATTAAACTGATGCTCTTTTGATTTTTTAAGTAATTCTTCTGTGATATTCACCATTTTATTAAATTCTCTCTTAACATTCTCCAGACCATTTCGGACTTTTTTGGTGTCTTTTCGATCTGCACTTGGCAACTTTAATGAGATGCAACTTTTAAAAAATGATTTCTTATTGTGTTTCGAAGCAGATTTATCAGTCATTTCATCGTAGTCTAAGGTTTTAGGTATATCACTTCCGTTCTTTGTCTTCCAATCAGCTAGTTTCGATTGATTTATCACAGATATTTGAGATGAAAATGGGCTCTTTCGAAATATTTGACTATACCGTGGTTTTATCTTAAAGTCCATGCTTTTAGAAACATCTTTCAATACATTCGGAAGAGTATCTGTGGTACAGTTACAACCAACAATATAAGGTCTTCTAACATATTCGAGTGATTCCCGTGTCAAATTCTTTTGCCTAATTACAAGAGATTTTAGGTTTGTTTCTTCAATATTTTGATTATATTGTTTTTCAGAGAAAAATATGGAATCGATCACGCGACATGCGTATGAAAACTCATTCTCATACCAACAAACAAGTTTAAAAAAATTAGATTTATGCTGCATACTCGAGTTGACATCCAAAATGCAAGAATGAGTATCTTTATTAAAATCAGATGAGACTGCCTCTTCTTTCGATATATTTATTATACCTTTCAAATAAGTTTTGCTTGCATTCTCTACACTTCTAACAATGTTCTGTAATTTTGTGTCTTTATTTAATCTGAGAAAACATGACAAAGGTATTCTGAATATTGGATATTATAAATTGGGCAAAATGACGATTCGCTAAAAACTTCTATTGTTATTTATTAAACAATAATTAATTCGACTGTTTAAACAATATACAGTATGGTTCTATTAACTTGGTCAGTGTGAGGAGAGCTTAAACCGCAAGTTATTAGTTGTATTACTCTCCTATGATAAAAGTGTTCCTTATGTTGAATATTACTTTGTAAATAATACAAACGCATAATTATATGTATATTAGACATATAATGCATCATGTAACTACTTCGACTAGAATTTGAATAAAAATAATATAATTGATATTAGATCGTTTTTATTAAATTTGACCAACCACTGATAGCTTTGACCAGATTGATTAAAACTGTCAATTTATATAAAGGTCATGCTTTACTTAAAATTTGATTTTTTTTTTCATGAAAACACCTAAGGGTACCTATATTAATATCTCCTACAGACTTACCAATACTCGTTGTCAGTAACTTAATTTGTCTTTTCAAAATCGGCTACTAAACAAAAATGCGCAATCAACTATGCATATGTCGCAGGTTTATGATAAACCTCCGACACATATACCACTAATTAGTGAGCAGTGCGTTCCGATACCCTTGCATTGATTATACTCCACTTTGCCCATCTTCGAGATTTGGGATTTGAGAAATTAATCTTCCGCCATCAGTCGTTCGTCAGAGATTGACATTTGGAGAAAAATTTCATGTACTCTCACTTACACTTCTATTGAAATTATATGACTTTATAGTGTAGTGAGACGTCAGAAAAAAATCAAAATGGAAATCGAACAAGTTTTTTAGACACTAATAAAAGTTATATTGTGGATAATGAGACGTGGATAGTGTCAACTAAAAAATAAAAAAAATATTATGCATATTATTGCTCTCAACTTCCCATGTTGGATGTAATAATTATGTGATATGATTTGACAGCTCTCGATAGCGCAGAGGTTTGACATAAAACTTCTCTTTGACATATTTTTTAAAAGACTGCTATTTTTCCTCTATCGTAAAAGTGTTTTAAAATAGATAATTTCACATGGACAAACATCCAAAACTGGAACTATTATTTGTAAGCTTATACCAACACTTCCGTGCACGATTGAACGGTGCTGAAGCACAGCAGCCAAACGCTTAGTGCATCCCAGCCCAAAAAGCATTAAAATTTATTTTATAATAAAACGAAAATGTGTTGCAACGTCAATTATTTTAATTTAGCTATATTTCAATTTCGACTAAATTATAGTACTTAATTAAATTTAAATCTTAAGGTAAAAGTGATAAAGCTGAAATTTGGTTGTAGTGATTTGGAATAATTCTGTAACTTTAATAATATCATATAGGAACAATATATTTTTTCGCGATTACTTTGGCCTTTAAGTATATTTTAAACTGGACGGGATAACATAACATTACTGCATCATCAACTTGTAATAAATACTTGCATAAGCTTTATATAGCCTCTATATAGGTAGGCCTTTTGCAGTAAGAAGGGCAAAATTTGAGACTATGGGAAAAAATATTTAATTACATTTACAAAATACAGGGTTATTTTGCAATAACCTAAATATACAGAGAAAGTTCAGGATAAGTAATATAGGCAAAGGGTGAAGGAAAATGAATTTAAAAAATCTCAAACATTCTGCCCTTGCACACATTCGTAGGCAAAAACGTAATTGCCCATAAATCATATTCAATTTGGAATCATTTCAAATAAAAGTAAACGCCTTATTTACACGTATTATCTAAAATTACAATAACGGTATATCGTTATTTATATATATTTGAACTTAAGTTTAAAATTTGGCTACTCTTTGAAATATAACCCTGTAAGTATATGAAACGGGAGTAAACTCCAAAGACTACTAGTAGATGCAATAACTAGAGTCTAGATTAAAGAGTGTAGATTAACATACGTACAACAACATTTTATTTTATCATATGATAAAACAAATATATTTTTATTGGTTTTTTTTTTTTTTGTTTTTTTGTTTTATTTTGTTTTTTTTTTTTTTTTTTTTTTTTTTTTGTGTTTGTTGGGTTGGGTTGTGTTTTGTTATTTTTTATGTTTGAATTGTTATACATTCATAGTAATAAAATACTGCATAATTAGTTAATGGTCCATAGAATACATAGTAGTGGAACCGATAACTTATAAAATATCTTGAAAATGTTTGTTACCAAAAAGGATAAGAAGGTACTGAGAAAAAAAAAAAGAAAATACGCACCGAATTGTTAAATCGAGTACAGACACATTGACGATAGGGACTCGAAAGGCTAACCCGATCATTTTGTCTTTAGATTGCGGTAGTATTTTTCCGAGCACCTTGCAAGCACCTGTAATCGCTGGTATTATGTTCTGATGAATACTTCTATGATCTCGCCAGTGCTAGAATATTTTTTATGTAAATCATTTTAATTTTTAAGGTATAGTAACCAGAAAACAAAAAAAATACATTATAATATAACATGGTATCGGATCCAAGCTCACTAACTCGTAAGAAAATGAACGCTGGCAAATACAATCTTCGGAGGTAAGGCCTATTACCAGCAATGGCCCCAAAAAACCGAACAATACGAAGCTTTAAAAGAGTATAGTATAGTATAACCCTTTCTCTATCCTATTTCAATTGTTTTATTATTGGGTCTATTTCGCGGACAAGGAAATATGTATAAGTAAGTATGTATTATATGCTGAACCTAATAACTACTTATTTTGAATCTCATTTGAAGCCCTTGTGCAATGGAGTCAGCTATTTTTTCAGTAAAATCTGGTTTTGTTCTCGTATCTTAAACATTGCAACCGTTAGACATTGCTCCCTATTGACGAGGCCTATCTCGATCGTCTTACGAGCCGGGACATTCGGGTCAATCATTCAAATGGATCAGCTCTAGTTTATATATATATAATGTCGGTCGTTGGACATTAATCCTGTGAGTTGTTTGATCCGGAACATTCAAAAAATGTAATTGCAGTCATCAATACTTTGATGCGACCTGGGCAATATGAACGAATCATTCACGATTGACACATGTCTACTACATTCTAATAAGAATAAAAAATACAAGATACAATGATTTCCATCCATCCATTACAGCCTGCCCAATTCGACTGCTGAATATATGCCTCTCCCATAGAGTACCTCTTTGGGGGATTTTGCTTAGCAAGCGGGTTGGCAAGTGGCAACCACAGGTTTTTATAATTTTGAATTGCTATCAGGAAAATGCTGCTTCCTGTTTCCTTTTCAGTACACCTCTTACGACACCCACGGGACTATAAGAAGTAGTGGATATTCTTACACCGCCACTTCACGTTTCATATAGTCATTTAAAATATTCTAAACTGCGCAAAAATATAAGGTCGGGGAAAAAGTTTCTTCGTGTTTTATATACAAATTCAAACATTTTTTCAACAAGTTTCATCTCATTTAATTTTAATGTGCCATTTTGTTCGGTAACTTGTTGCCATCTTGTAAGTAGTGACATAATCCCTTTGCTGTCGAAATCTTGAAATTTATTCTCAAAAAAATACGTCAAGTAGTTTTGACAGTCCTCTCTTGATGTTAAGCTAACACTACCCAAGGAGTTCTGAAGAGGCCGAAACAGGTCACAATCTGAGGGTGCAAGGTCAGGACTATATGGTGGATGCATTAACACTTCCCAACCAAGTTTTGCTGAGTGGCCAAAGATGTGTGTGGTCTGATGTTATCATGACGAAAGACCGCTCATTTTCTTGTGATCAATTCCGGCCTTTTTGTCTCGATTTCTTGCATGCATGCATCATTTATTGTTGGCAGTAAAGATCCGAATCAATGGTTTTGCTCGGCGACAAAAGCTCATAATAAACGATGCCGCCGATTTCGCACATTCTTGCCGTAGGTGATCCACTTTTCATCACCAGTGATTAATCTTTTCAAAATGGTTCGGTTCCATTACGTTTCAATAGAGAATCGCAAATGAGTACATGATTCATTAGGTTTCTTTCAGTGAGCTCGTGTGGTACCCAAATATCGAGCTTTTTTTATAGTTAGACTTTTTCAAATGGATGAAAACTGTTTTGTGGTCAATCCTCAATTCCTTGGCTATGTCGTTAGTACTAATATGCCGATCTTGCTCCACTTTTTCAAAAATGGCATTGAATTTCTCCGTACGAGGGCGACCAGAGTGAGCTGCATCTTTGACATCAAAATTCCCGGACTGAAAAGGCTTGAATCTTTGTGCTACGCTTACTGACACTGCATTAGGTCCATGAACGTCACAAATTGTTTTCGCGGCTGGAGTCGCATTTTTCCCTTTTTTGTAATAAGACTTCAGAATGTATCAAATTTCTTTGTTAGATTCACTCATTTTGGCGGACAGAAAAACAATTGAAAATTGGCGGGAAAATACCAAAAAAATATCCTATCTGTATTGATATTAAAACCAGATAGATATAAGCATTTTTTCTTTAATTTTATACAAACAAAATACGAAGAAACGTTTACCCCGACCTGTTATATACATATATATTTTTGCTTCCAAATACTGCCAAGCACTAATACTTTAATGTAATTATTTTACTAACTATTTTCACAAAATACATAAAAGAAAGATTCATTAAGTCCTTTACGTACTTCCAATAAGTCGTTTAATAATTCAATAACATTACCTTTCCTCTTAAACACAAACCGTCCAAGGGTTTTAAAGAGGGCGTCATGGCATGAATGCTTGTAACAAATCCCTCTGCGACACCGAAGTCATTTTCTAGAACTTTCATTATTGGCGCCAAACAGTAGAGAGTGCTCGAAGCACACGATATTACCTTTTGATCTATAAAATTAAAAGTTTTTAACACATGCATTCCTTAGCATTATGACTATCGAACAATAATCTATTTCAAAATAGGAAACATTATTTTTATCATACTTCGAATACTCAAAGTTATAGGTATTTTTGTAATATATTTTCAAAGAAGGAAGAAAAAATCATTGACATAGCCTTCTTTGTAATCAAATTGAAGTAGCAGAAACGTAAACGTAAACGAAAATATGGTGATTTTTCTATTTCACATATATTCTTTAAGATTTACAGATTACGAATCAAACTTTTGCTATATATGTTTTTTGACTATACAATATGTAACGTAATTAACGCACACCCTCAGACACCCCAATTAGTATATTATGTTATAATCATAATACATACACTGATTTTTAGTAAAAAATTTTATGCACTGATTATTTATCAAATTAGTAATACTAATTCCGGAAAAATGTTGTGGTCACAGTACAAATCCACGAACTCAAAGACTGAAATAAAGTTCATTTTTCTTTATTTTTATTGAATGACAGAATTAGTAATAATACAAATAAAACTGCACTCTTAAAAGTCTTATTGCCTTAAGTTACGGTCCATTTTATTGGAATTCAGGCACGAATTGGGTTATTTTTTTTTACCTCTTTTTGGTCGGTCTTCTTCCTATCATTTTACTTATATTGAAGTCGGTTGTAAAAAAATAATTTTACTTGCTTTACCTATTCCTATGACGTAGTTTTCTTAAAAAAATATGTTGTTGTTGCGGCGCTTCCGTAATTTATTTCCGAGGGTGTGCTCAGCATATTTAATAATTTGAAGTGCATGAAGTAATTGCATCACTTTCATTTTGAAACTCCTTCAGTCGCCCGTGAGCTTAATCGATAACGGGCTAAGCCACTCCCCCAAAACTACAATTCATTTTCATGATATCCTCTTAAGAAGCCAGATAAATGTATTTTTAACCAAATTGATAAAGATTTATTATTTTATTTTTATGCAACAAACAAAACGTTTATAACTGATACCTGGATGCAGTTTATCGTCATTCACCCCCAGTATTATCATAGGAACGTCAACGCTTGGCGCAGTGACCACGACTCGCCTCACGCCTCCGCCCGATAGATGACCCTGTGATAATTGTATTATTCAAACACGAGTACAATATATTTAAAAAATATAGTGATCATACGATACTTCGTAGGTATTTTATCTATGAAATACTGTACTTTCATTGCCCTAAGGTTGGTTGACAGAGAATAATTTTAGCATAAGTTCCTCTTGAACCTTTACTGTTGTAAAGGGCATAAATTGTGACGCTTCAATAAATGTCTGCATGGATTGTAGTAGATTTTCGTTAAATTTGAGTAGATTTTCGTTTGAATAGAGTAAAGGATACTTTTTATAACAATTTACAAATTACGTCCAGTGAAAGTCATGAATAACATTGAAAAATATTGAAACACTTAAGGTTCGGTCTAATTCGGTAGTTTAGACCGAACCTTAAGTAGAACCTTAACCTTAAGTTTGCGCCTTAGTGCTCATACGCACTACGCGGGTTAACGCCGCCCGGCTGACCGCATGATGCTATTACGAATACGGCCAACCACATTGCGGGTAACCGCATAATGTGTATGAGCTCTCTAACCCGATATCTCACTTATTTATTTTTCATCTATTAAATTTAATACATTTGAATTGAATTGGATTGAAATTGAAGCAGTTTTGAAAGTAGTCACCTTTTTAAACTCTGCCGCCCTTGTCAAAAACAGTAAGCTAATTTGAAGCCCAAACCCCAAGGCCAAAGCTCTAAGGCCTAAGCTCTAAGGTCAAAGCCTTAATTTGCTAAAAAAACAGTTGACAATTATTAAAACAGTTGTTTCTATTTTACTGATGCAATAAGTGTAAGGATTTTGTATGCTGTTGCATTACGGTTGTAGTGCGATCATTTTTCTTATTTTAAGTCAAGGACCATACCCGACTTATGACTTTGATATTGATATTGTCAGAGCAGTTAAGTAGATGTTATAAGCAAATAGAATGATACCCTCCCACGTAGTTGCGTCGTAAAAGAACCCACCTACCTTATATCATCCTATGGGTGTCGTAAGAGGCGACAGAGTGAAACTGAGCCAGAAGATGGGCAGTAGGATATTCCAGAACTGAAATTAATAAAAATCAGGTTGCTATCCTGCCTGCCAAACATAGAAGGGATATTTATTTGCCAACGGGATATAGAAAATTATCGTCCGATATCCAAACTTAATAAAAGGTGTCTCATCGCTGATTTTAAACTTTAAATACCAATTTCTCGGCAACCGGCGGGGTTAGCGGGAGGGGAGAGGTAGCGTTCGGTAGGTGATTAGTGCGGGCTTTTTAGTCGCTATGTCCCAGTGGTCTGGCGCGCACCGCGCGTACGCAGTAGAGGCGTATTTTTGTAACGAGTTTTCGCTGAGGGAAGCACAGCGCAAGTTTTGTAATCGCTATGAAATCCGCCGTTTAAGTGATGCCCCGAGTATTCAGTTAATTAAGTTGTGGGTAAAAAAGTTCAGAGCGACAGGATGTTTAATGAAACATTCAATTGGCCCTCGAATTAGACCTGTTCGATCGATTGAAAACATCGACCGCGTCGCCGCTGCGGTCGCGGAGCATCCACGACGATCAGTTAGAAAACATGCTGCCTCTTTGAATCTTCATCGTTCAAGTATTCAACGAATTTTGGCCTTAGACTTAAAATTACATCCCTATAAAATCCAAATAGTTCAAAAAATCAAACCAGAAGACTATAAGAAGCGAAAAATTTTCTGTCAGAAGATGTTAGGGATTTTTTCAGAGGAAAATGGGATGTCCAATGTTTATTTTAGCGATGTGTCACACTTTCACCTCGAAGGGTACGTCAATCGCCAAAATTGCCGTTACTGGTTACCCAGCAATCCAAAACAAAAACATCAGAAGGCATTACACAGCCCCAAAGTTACTGTATGGTGCGCAATATCGGCGAAGAAAATCATCGGGCCATTTTTCTTCGAGAATGATCGAGGTGCAACGGTTACAGTGACGAGCGAGCGGTATATCGACATGATTAATAACTTTTTTGTACCGCAGCTGCAAGAAGAGGATGTTGATGAGTCCGGTGTATGGTTTCAGCTAGATGGGGCCACAGCCCACACAGCTAGGGTCTCCATGGACACACTAAAAGCGTTGTTTCCGGGAAAAATCATAAGCCGCTTTGGAGACATATTGTGGCCACCCAGATCTCCCGACTTAACCCCAGCTGACTTTTTTTTATGGGGTTATCTTAAAGCAAGAGTTTTTGATACCCCTCTTATGAATTTAGAGCAGCTGAAGACTAAAATAACGACAGAAGTGAGGGCCATATTAATTGACCTTCTGCAGCGTGTTTCTGCAAATTCGTTAGTCCGCTTTGAAGAGTGCATTCGTCGTGATGGAAGACATCTTGACGGTGTAATATTCCGTACATAAAATTCGCACTAATGTACTATAATTTACTACAATTAAAATATTATAAACACAATTGTTTTTTTTTTATATATAAATATTCAAAGTTTAAAATCGGCGCTGAGAAACCCTTTACTATCCCCAAGCTTTTTGAGAAAATTGTGTATGACGTTATATACCCCACCATTAGACCTGTCTTGTTGCGCCAGCAACACGGTTTCATGACTAGAAAATCTACAGAGAGTAATTTATGCGAATATCTTGATATTGTTTACAAATGGATCAAGGGCTACAGGTGGATGCTGTGTACACCGATTATTCAAAACCTTTTGATAAAATATCTCACGAAATCCTTATCAAAAAACTAGACCAAATCGGTGTGCACGGTGACCTCCTGCGCTGGTTAGCATCGTACTTGCGTAATCGTACTCAAGCAGTAGCACTTAAGGGGTTCTGTTCTTCGTGTTTACAAATATCTTCGGGTGTCCCACAGGGCTCGCATCTTGGTCCCCTTTTGTTCAATATTTATGTAAATGATGTTCTTTTACAATTCCAACATTCTAACATACTCCTATTTGCTGATGATAAAAAAGATTTTTAAAATTATTAAAAATGAACATGACTGTGAACTACTATAAGAAGATATTAATAGATTATACTCATATTGTTCAAATAATCAATTGTTCTTAAATATTAAAAAATGTAATGTTATAACATTCAGCAGAAAAAACAGACCTATAGAATTTGATTATAAAATAAATGATGTGTCGATATATCGGGTAACCGAGTTGCGGGACCTGGGCGTGTATTTGGATCAAAAATTAACATTTAAATCTCATATTGATAAAATAGTTAACAAGTCATATAAGATGCTTGGATTTGTCTTACGAATTACAAAAGACTTTAAAAAGCCCTCAACCCTAATTATTTTGTATAACTCGTTGGTCCGCTCAATATTAGAATATTGTTGAGATTTGTCTTACGAATTACAAAAGACTTTACCTCAACCCTAATTATTTTGTATAACTCGTTGGTCCGATTAATATTAGAATATTGCTCAACAGTTTGGAATCCTCAATATAATATTTATATAGAGTCGCATATTCAATTTAGATTAGCCGGCAATGCCTCCATTTGGTGTAGACTAGCTTTTGACCTAAAATCTCGCCGTATTGTCAGGGATCAGATGTTTTTATATAAAATCATTCATAATAGGGTCGACTCTATACCACTTTTAAATGAAATAAGTTTCAGATGCCAAAGGATAAGTGCTAGAAAGAAACTTTTATTTTGTACTTCCACTATGCGCACAAAATATGGCACGAACAATTTTATAACTCGTGCATGTAATTCTTATGAGAAAAACTTTTCACATGTAGATATATTTTCTCTGTCATATGGACAGTTTAAGAAGGAAATTGAAGCTGTAATGGATAATAGTTAAATTAATAGCTAAATTATCATTTTACTTAAATATCACACTTTACTTTGACTTAACTTCGCTTTAGCTTTTGCACACCTAAGTTTGTCATTGGTGTTCGCTTGTTGTCGATGCGTTATTTAACAGTGGAAACTTTTTTGTTAAATGTAAGATTAATATGTGTTATGTAATAGACTAAAATAATGTATGTTTCCCTTAAAGATAAAATAAATAAATAAAAAACTAAGACAAATATCGCCCCTATGACGCATTATTAGAGAAAGAAAGGTGGAAGTTCTCAAATCAACTCTATGTTTTTCATTATTAAAAAATGAGAAGGCAAGCATTTTCAGCCTTAACAGCTCCTGGTGGCGTCAACAAATCTACGTTTTTTATAGAAGAGTGGGCAAACGAGCATGCGGCTAATCTAATGGTAAGTGACTACCGCCGACCATGAACAACTGCAACACCAGGGGAATTGTTACGTTGCCGGTCTTTTAGAAAGGAGTAAGCTCTTTTCTTGAAGGTCCCTAAGTCGTATCGGTACGGATCGCTGGTAGTAAACAATTCCACAGAGAGGTTGTACGAGGAAGAAAACTCCTAGTAAAACGACTGGTAGATGCATCCAGATGGTGTGGATGGTATCGTGAGTTTAGACGCGATATGCGTTCGTGAAATTTGGCGGCTGAAATTATTCAGAACAATTCCTCATGAGGAGATACGACAAAGAGGTCGTATATAAACAAAAATCGAAATGACATTGAGACCCGAAGTTTAATTATTATCACAACTCAAGTGACGTGAGCGCGAAATCTCTTGCGGGTCATGATCACGCGAGAAAATATCTTGCATGATAATTTATTTAAAAGTAACGCAACATATGAGGTGCATCAGGTCCCTTCGTCATATCTATCAAAATTTTTAACAAACTCCCTAACTCAATTAAAAAAAAAATAGAAAAACACACTAATTTCATAAATAAACTAAAGGAATTTTAAATTTGTAAACACTACTACACACTAAACGAATACCTAAATTATAAACTTTAAATATCTACCTAGAATACCTACAGTTGCTACAATATATAGTGTATTCATCATTATTGTTTAATTAATTTTATTAATTCGAAAAGTAAAATAAATATGTAAACGCAATCAATATACTACTTATTACATTTAATGGCTATTATGGAAGCGAAGTTACAATTTAAAGGAGCATTCCGATGAAGTTATATTGGCAACCACTTGAAGTTAGTACGGAAGATAGAAACATAGTCATATTTTCGCAATCCAAATATAAACGTTATACAGGATTCTGTATTAGCTCAAGTTTATCAAGCTAAGCTTCGGTTAGATCAAGATAGCTGGCGTCCGCATAGTCAAAAATAGGGAAAAGAAGGGACTTGGCTAGCATCGTTTTGGTGGAAATGGGAAGAAAGTTACGTAATCTACACAAGGAGGCTGCAGATGTATAAACTTTACGATTAATTTCTTTGATGCTCTGTCCCCACGATAGATGTGGATTCCCAAGTTCTTTACTGAATATACAGCTGTTTCAGGAATAATCGTTTTACCAAATACTATATGAGGCAGGTAATCAAGATTCGACTTAACCAACATTTGCGCGCTGTCCAAGATAATGCCTTGAGATTTTGCAGGGTTAATAACCTGAAGGCCATATGCTTTTTTACTTCACTCAAGAATTCGCATTCGCATTAATAACATTGATAACATTGAGGAGATCGTTGGGACAAGTAAATACTATATGTATACTATATATATTTTGTTAAATTACCTAAAATGCAAATACTATACATAAACAAGATAAATATATTGATACATACAAACATATAGTAAGAAACTAGAACTAGAGATTGTTTTTATGTTGCCTACATTTCGATTCATAATTGAGGATAGATGTAGGTTGGTGTCTATGGGCCACGGTATCCACTTAACAACAGTTTAGTTACCGTTACTTATATAAAATGCGAAAGAATAATAGAAGACACCAGCATCTTCCTGATTAAAACTCAAAAGTGTGTTTGCCAACCTGGTCATGATTTATGCTGTCGAGCGTGGCAGCAACTATGACAAAGATCCCCTATGTTCAGCAGTGGGCTGTAATGGAATGAATGGAATGCGGCAAAGTGGTCATCAGTCTGTGAGGTTCGGTATTATCGAATGGATTTACTGCCATTGGTCGGTTGCCAGAACCTCGTTTATTAGCATGGTGCATCACATGCAGATGAGATTGGTATTTAGTAAATTTTTGCTTACTCTTTTACGTGGTAGAGTCATGCTGTAGCTGCCTATATTGTGGTTGCAGCACGAATTGGTCGGCTCGATAGGGTTGGACCACGCCTTCACAGAATACCAGCGTAAAATAGCAGCTTAATGGTGGTGTGTTTCGTGTGGTGAGTGCAGATAAACGAAGACCCTTTTTACTGGAAACGAGGCATTCTATCTCAGTCCTCAGGGCTGGCAACGCATCTGTATTTTGATTTTTAATTGAAGATATATGTAGATGTCTATGGGCCACAGCATCCACTTAACATCAGGTGGACTGTGTGCTCGTTTGTCACCCTTATACAATACTATAAAATACGTAATCGAGAATTTTAATTCAACATTTTGAATTTTATACTAATAATTACCAACGCCTTTTCTAGACTAGTGAACATTCCCGATGATTCAATAACATATTGCACGCCGGCAGATTGCCACGGTACCGCGGCTGGCTGTTTCTCGTGAAATATTTTTGTTAAATTACCTAAAACACAAAAAAGTATGTGTAAAAATTATATAATTAATGAAGATTCGATCAAAAATTATTAAATGATACCTACCACTTTGTTCCGTATTAAAAATTAAAGTTTTCAAATAGATGGCGCTATACTCTCTCCTTTACGCCAGGTCCAAAACAACAAAAACATGAGATCTGCTTGCCAAGCATGACTGTTGACGCAAAATATTCCTTACTACGTAAGACTCATGTCCAGCAATGGAGTTTTAGGAGCTGATGAAGAAGGAGATTAGGATATTTTTTATATCATCGTCTAATGGTAGATGATGACATATGGACTATAAAAGCAGCAGCATACTGATGGATAGTAGGCTCTTTTAAAGATCGCCCCTTTAAGCCGATCTTCAGCTTAACTAGCTTTCTTTTTTCATTGTTCCATTCAGATATCCTACATTACATTTGCACCTACACTTCAACTTTGGTCACTTCTATGCTAGTGTATTTCCATTGTACGCTGACCGGGCTTGAGCTAGATCATTCTGGCTAAATAATGTATAGAGACAAGTACTTGACTTTGTACTCTCTATATACGGTTTAACGATTTAATACCAGCTTGAGTCAACATTACCCTCTAAACAGATGCCTATCTTGTATATGTCCTAAAATGTAACAAATGAAATGACGCACAAAAGAGCTCAATGTTTTTAGTTATAAAGCTAAAACTAATGATTATGAATGCTTGCATACTGTAGATCACCAGTAAACGAATTTAGGCCTTTTTCAACTGACTTCTAAAAACGGAGGAGGTTCTCAATTTGACTGTACTTTTTTTGTGTGTTACTTCAGAAGTTTTTTCTAGATGAAACGATTTTGATGATTCTTCTTATTTGAAAGCTGATGCTTCTCATGACGTCCCATATAAATTTGATGAAGAGTTATCCTTAATGCGTATTTAATTGACTTTGACTACATTGATGATGTTCCCATTTTATTTATACATTTAAGTCGGTTATACAAAACTTTTAATTTTACTACTTGTTTATTGTTCTCATTTATTGTTTACTACGTACTTTATTAATGAATATTTTCAATCATTTATTCCCTTTATAACCAATTAAGTCCATTATGGATTCACTATTGAACATCGGTTCCCCTTGTCTATTGAGGACAAGCCTTATCAAAAACGCACCAATAACGCATGTATTTCTTGAAAGAGATATCCATACTCACTAAGCTGGACAGACGGGTTACTGAGCACAGAGGAGATGCTCTTTTTTATAAATTTAAAGTGACACTGCTGCTGCAGACCTTGGATATTTGCAGCCTACTTCAAACAGAGAAGGCTACTGGTTTGTTGTCACTTTTGAGAAATAAGATGAAATCCCTCACAGCCTATAATTATACTGATTCATTACATTTCAAACCAGAACACAATAATGTAGGCACTGCTGTTTTCTACAGAAATAGGTATTTACGTGGTAGAGCCATGCTGCAGTTATATTAGTAGTATAGTTATAGCACGAATGGGTCGGCTCGACCGGGGAAGGACCACGCTCTCACAGAATACCAGCGTGAAATAGTAGCTTAATGCTGCTGTGTTTCGTATGGTGAGTGCAGAGAACCGGAGACCCTTTTTACTGGAAACGAGGCATTCCATCTTAGTCCTCACGGGTGACAACGCATCTGCATTTTGATTCGTAATCGAGGACAGATGTAGATGTCTATGGGCCACAGCAACCACTTACCATCAGGTGGACTGTGTGCTCGTTTGTCACCCTATCCTATAAAAAAAAAAAGTAAAAATCACTCTTACATTGGTAGTGCTGCTCCTCATTACTAATATGTAGTATTGGGCGCGTTTCCATTCGCCGGCAGCGGCAGGCGCCGGGGAAGCAAAAATATTTTAAACGTATGGCATGTGTAGACATGTGTTTTCACTTACTGACGCTGGCGCCGGTGCCGTGCCAGGACGGCAAGCTTTGCGCTCGATGCAGGCCGATAAAACTGCATATGTATTGTGTACGTATTGTAGTCGTGTGCATGTGCGTGTGCGTGAGCCGAGGTAGAAGAGACGCGTTGAGATTGAGACATGAAATTGACTTGTGAAATGATGAAATGTCTCCTCGTTCATGCAGAAGTAGTTAAAGTATTTTTTGGGTCTCCTTCTACGTATCTTATTAGCTGGGTACACAGTTAGTGAGATTGGCATTTGGAGAAAAGGCGTACATTATTATTCTTCCTTGCCTCAGAATAACAAGGTGATATAGTTGTCTACATTGTCGCCCTTTTAATATTTATACAAAAAAAAAGTACAATATCATATTACCGTTAATTTTTATATCATCGTTATATGACTCGATAGTTGCGTTAAGCTTTCCATGTGTTGAATCAAATTTCATTAAATAACAGATGTATTCCACATCTATAGCAGGATCATTAATAGCAGATACCTGTATTAGAAATAGAAATTAACGAGAAATGTGTACTTGCTGTTAGTAGCAGCGTTAAAGAATCCACCACCCAATATCATTGCATAAGTTTCGTAAGAGGCCACAGTTGAAAACATGTGAGATGTGATAGGCAGCAGTATTTACAGTATGGCTTTATCATTAAACTCTACGTGGTACCCACACGTGTAGTTTTCGTGGTAGAGCCACGCTGCAGTTACATTATGGTTGTAGCACGAATGGGTCGGCTCGACCGGGTAAGGATCACGCTTTCACAGAATAAGAGCGTAAAATAGCCGCTTAATGCTGCTGTGTTTCGTATAGTGAGTGAAGAGAACCGGAGACCCGTTTTACCGGAAACGAGAAATTCCATCCTAGTCCTCAGGGGTGACAACGCATCTGCATTTTGATTCTTAATCGAGAATAAATTTAAATGTCTATGTATCAGAGCATCCACCTCGTTTGTTATCCTTATTCTATAAAAAAATATTTCTGCCAATGTCAAGTCAGTCATGTATGTAACAAAAGGTAAAATCGTTACAGTTCACTACCGTACTGTTACCGTTATAACCTATTAAAGTCCACTGCTGAACATAGGCCTACAAAGATTGCCGAGGGGAGATCAAACAAAATGTACAATAAATAAAATTGTATTTTTTTTATATGATAGGCTTTCAAATCTATAACAAAAGAACATCATCATCATTACAGTCTATTGAAAGTCAACTGCTGAACATAGGCCTCCCCATAAATTACTTCATAGGGTATTTACCACTGTTGCCAGGCCTTGCAGGCAGCTTGGCAACTGGAGTTTTCTATTATTTTGAGTTGTTATCAGATGGAAAGTGCTGCGACCCAACTCTTGTCTCAGTTTCGTTTCCTCTTACGGTACCTACGGGGTGTTATGGAGAAGTGGATATTCCTATGCCGCCACTACAGTTTTAAAAAAAAGCATTATATTCTACCACCAAAAAGTAATAGTAATAAGTTAGAATTTAATTTAATTAATCTATGCCAAATCACATTAAATTTGGACAAATGAGGAAAACAAAGGCTAACAAACAATTAAAAGTGAGATGGAATACTATGATATACAGGGAGTACTTAAATCATAGGTATTCAAAGAATAGGTGATAAGTCCAATCGTCATCAAGTAATTACTTATAGAATTATCCCTTATTCTTAATTTGTCTAAATGTATTGTTGTGCAAATGAAGCAAAATGAAGAAAGCGAGGCCATTAAAAGGTCTTCTTAATAACAGTTCTAAATAATAAAACAGTTGCCAACCCGTAACTATAGCAAATTTGTCCTCTAAGGGCTTATTTTCAGCTGTGCACTTTTGCGAGGCTGTAATGAATAAATTAAAAATTAATACCAACAAACGCTATGAGAGTTTAATTAATTACCTCAATATTTGAATTCTCAAAACAAGTTCTGAATAATATTCTACCTATTCGGCCAAAACCATTAATGCCTACTTTTACAACCATTCCTAGAAAAATAATGTACTGACTTTAAAAGTAATTTTGAATGGAACCCTATCCTGATAGGTTAGAAAAGACTAGAATCACTATGTTTTATAATTTGTAATAATTTGTCATTTTGAATTTAAATCTGCCGCTAAACGCATAGAGTAACGTAGAAATGTAATGTAGGTATGTAATTACTCTAAGGTCTAAGCAAATTACAATTATTAGCATTAGTGTTTTGGCGGGAACTTGAGCATCGACAGATTGTTGCTACAGTTTTATCATTTAAATAATGGTTTGAAGTGAATTTTGATATGTAAAAGGGATGCGGTTTTTTTTATTAAGTGTCTACGCATGTGAACTTTAAAAAAAATGACGAAAAACGAAGTGGTTAGCTGTCCTAAAACCTAAACCTCAAGTTATTTTGATCGCTTAGGTGTCTCATGAACTTGGGTAACTGTCCTCATCGACTGTCTGCTGGGTTGAGCTGTTGTCAAAATCTCCGCAAATTTTTGCAATGTGACGCATCAGCATATTGTGAACAAAAAATCGATAAAAACGAAGTTCCCGAATAAAATTAAAACATGGCTTAAAGGACAAGCATCCAATCGAAAAACCTTAAACAGAGATACTAAACGCAAAGATATTTTAATATACTGCGTATAGAACATAGATAAATAAATATGTAGCAAGCTAGTATAGAACAAGATTGTGCACTCTGAAGAAGTTGCAAACGTAAAATGTATTCTATGTTATTGAAATAAAGTCTACTTTCATATAATATTAGGCTCAACGGAAAAACGAGATGAGCGAGATGCCTCTAGGAATGCGTTCTTGTCTATAGTGTTGCAACAGTGAAATATTTTTTCACGTAGTAGAACTTAATGATATTTTTTATTTCTGTTCTTGTAATAATTCTAAATAATTATTAAATAAAATTAAAGAGAAGGCTTCATAAGAAAATATTTATACTTATGCGTAATTTCCAATCGTGTTTAACTACTTGCTTTATTTCAGAGTCGTTTTGGCAAGTTTTACAAACAATAACTGAGCAATACTACATCTTCTATATATGTGTATAGACCGAGTAGTGAATTGTGTTTGCCCAGTATTTATTTTTATTTATTTACGTTTCATTTTCTATCGTGTCCAAACAGTTAAAATTGTTGCTCACCTGTTGCGTGAAAAAGCAAATGTGAATCATACAAATGATGTAGTGTATTTTTTCATAGGTAAATAATTTTGTTTTGCTTAAAGTAGGGTTCCGATATTTATTTTAGTTAAAGGTACTTTATTTTGTTGTATAAAATCAAAGATATTATAATATATTTCTATAAGAAGTGTATTATAATATTTTTGATTTTAGACTACTAAAATCTTCTAGATTTCTATGTTACTAAAGTGATTTATGTTATGAGTTAATGTTTTGTTTGACAGAATGTGATGTTACTGTGCGAGTGTTGGTGTGCATATTTATCTTTCATATACAACGCTTTATGACATATTTTCAAAGCTCTTCCTATTATCAGTTAAACGTTCAATCCGCATCTCATCATCATCAGGCTTACTTTTGAAAACAATTCCGATCGATCGGGTTTGAAATTATTATGTTTTGTACTCTTGAAAGGGACTCTAGCGCTAAATTAGTTTAATATTGCGTGATGATTTCGTGTGCTAATTGAGATTAGAATTGAAAATATCCATCCAATCCGATTGTAAGCAAAAGTCGGTACTCTCGATGCACTTTTGTTGACAGCTGCATATTGTGTTTGATATTGCGTTGGAATTGGAATTTAAGCAATTGCAAACATTATCGTTTTAGGATTTGTTTTTTTTTTTTGGTTTAATTATCTTAATGTTTGCTATAAAATAATGACACATATAGTTCTTGCATCTATCATTCTACGCCGTAATCGTGCTTTAGAATTCAAATAAAGATGAAATGAGCTTCAAATTATGCATTTTAAGCACTTAAGTTTTTTTCTATGAGTGACGATGATTTTGGAGCTAATTACTGTATTATTAAGGACTTCATTGAGAAAATACTGCATGAATAATAACCTTAATATGACACTCCTAAATAGCGCTATCTCGCTCAACTCTTTTGTCAGTCATGAGTACGCAATCTTGTTAAAATAAAACATCTTAAACTAAACGTCAGTAAAATAAAGTGAATACACGAGTAAATATTACTCTATACACTGACCTGTGATCTCTTATGTTAAATACCGTGATACAATGAGACAATTTGATTTTCGCCATTTTGGCGCTGACAGCAGAAGTGAACGTAAACGGAACTAATAATAGAGATAAAACAGTGTGATAAAATATATCGATAAAAATTCTATATCCAGGCCCCGTAACATCAACTCTATGTATCATATTAATATAATGCCATGCAATAAATAAATGTATCAACTAATACCTGGAGTTAGGTGCAAGTATTATACCTCATATAAAATCAAGATCGACGCTGCGTTAGTCTATCTACGTTTTTATTCGTAACAACAGAACGGATTTTGTTCCGGGTTTCCAGTTTGGGTATGGTAGTTCATTCTCGAGGATTACATATTTAATGCGTAATGAAAAATATCCAACTGGAATAAGTAGCTATACAAAAGTGGTAGCTTAGTGGTTAACGCTCGCTGTAAATATAACAGAACGCGAGCAACCCGGGTTCGATCCCCGCCGGCACCAATGAAATTGTTAATTGCAATTTTAAGTGCTGATTTACCACGTGCTCGGCGGTGAAGGAAAACATCGTGAGGAAACCTGCATGTCTGAGGAATAAGAAAAAAAAATATTTCGAAGACATGTGAAGTTCGTCAACACGCATTTGGGCAGCGCGGCGGACACTTCCTTGCCCTAAACCCTCTCAGAAATGAGGGGAGGCCTGAGCCCAGCAGTGGGACGTATATAGGCTGTAACTTTACTTTACTTTTACAAAATAAAAAATAATTTCGAAAATAATTTACTGTCAACCGTTCATTCAGTTCAAGTTATATAAAATTATAAAAACAAATCGCTAATAATATTGCAACCAATATTGGTTATCCACTTGAATATACAGATAGTACGGAATCACCATCAAACGTATATTACATAAACCACTTGTTATATATGGACGACATAAAATTATATGCCCAGAACCAGGAAGATTTAAACCAACATGCAAACACAACTGAAAGCATCTCACTTGGTATGGGTATGGAGCTTGAGATTGAAAAATGCAAAATTAATTCGGTCAAATTAGTTAAGCTGTATTTTGTCCTCTTAGGCGGCAAACTTGGATTGCAGCTTGTAGAAACTACGAATCTTGGATACCTAAACCGACTATCACTATTTGCTCCGAACATTTTGAAAAATCATATTTCATACCCCAAGCTAACAACAAAAGAAGGTTAGCAGACACTGCAGTAGCAACCTTGAACTTGTGGGAGGTAATGTTTGGCTGTAATTATATTTAGATTAAATATTTTTATTATATTTGACACCAATATTGTACTACTTGAAAATAGTTTAGAATTTCGATAAGTTTACAATTATGACTTCTTACATTTACGCAAAAAATACACATTAAATGAAACTAATTTGACGGCTTTTATTGCATTAAATTTTGACTTTTGATTCCCGACGTTTCCGGTGCAGTATAAATTTTAATGTCGTACCTTTGACAAAATACGGCACGTGCCGCAAATTAAACTAAAAAAACGTTTTTAAGGTCTAGGTCTAAGGTTTCTAAGGTCTACGGAAAATTAAACTGAAAAAATGCCTTGACATAAAAAAACAATAGCCTAAATAGGCTTCAATCGCAGAAACGGTATTTAAAGAAAAAGTTTGCAAGAAATACTAGATTCGCTGACAGAGACATCTTTGATAAATAAAGAAAACAAACAGGTCCCAGAAAAGATAGGAATTAAAGAAAGTGAACTTTTAAAGAGAAGTAAGACTGGAAAACTGCCCAGAACTAAATATTCTCCAAAGTTAAGATGTTTTGCCCTAACACTTAATTATTACTCACCAAAAGCCTATCGCTATGTACGTAATACTTTTGGAACATGTTTGGACATTGACTAAGTGGTACAGTACCCTCGATGGCCGATCAGTGTTCACTCAAAAAGCGCTGACGGCAATAATCTTGAGAGCAGAGAGTAACCTTGATAAAAAATATTGTACCTTGGTCATGGATGAAATAAAAATTAAGCAATTGAAGGAATATCATGCTAGCAGCAAAAGGCATTATGGCTATGTCGATTACGGGTTCGATTTAATAACCAATAATTCCGATGACGCTACTGACGCATTAGTGTTCTTATTGGTCAGTATAAACACAACATGGAAAATATCCACAGACAACTTTTTGATTAAGGTTGCGAGCGCTGAGTTAAAAGCACGGATAGTAACACAAGTTTTCTATCTTGTTCACGAAACTGGCATCGAAATAAAGGCGTTTACATGTGATGGTACAAAAACCAACCTCGCCATGGTGGAAGAGTTGGGCTGCTTTTAGGTCAGCACTTGTAACCTTTACTAAGAAGTACCCAATGAGTAATTTCCAAGAAGTATTAATGCCCATTAATAAAAGTGCTAAAGCATCAGTAGCATTCTCCGAACTCCGAATTGCCGGAAATGAAGTCAAATCCATAATTATCATAACCAAAATATCTTTTAGAACTTGCATGGTACTCCGTCAATTGTTTTATTTTTATTTCATCTATCATTAATTTACAATACAATTTCTTGTCAAGGTTAGGTACTATCTAGTCTAAGTTTACGCTTAACAGTTAACGCTTTTTTTTGTGTAGCCAAGTCGGCCATCAATTGTACCAAACCACTTGATTATAATACGTGATCAAGGCAGACAAATTTCAAAACTTTGATATTTTGCACATATCGTTAAGCTTTCGATGAATAGTAATGTAAAGTTAAAGCCAAACATCTTTCTGGGGAATACTTAGCCCTAGGTTGATGTCACGTTTTATTTTTAAGCAGCTGCCTGTTTAAAGTTCACTTTGTTCAACTATTATATTTTGTAAAACTACTTTATTTTCCTAATTTATTAAATATTTTCCAGATAGTTCGTTTAATAACTCTTGAAAATGAACAACTTTTTTAAATAGCGATTTTGTGATTGAAGCCTTCTGATAAAAACAAAAACTTGGTTAACACGACGATAAACTGATACGACTTTTCTTTTTATAAATCTTATTTTTAAAATAAGTTAACTAAACCTCCCATTTCGATTTGTTACAAGTTTTTAATTTTATAATGCATAATGTAAAACAAACCTGTAGCAAAATAGTAAACTTACTTTCAATCATTTCAAAGTTTTTTTCCGAAGATCTTATTTAAATATTAAAAAAAAGAATTTCAAATAACACCTTGGTGTTATTTATCTATGTATTACTTATAATCAAATAAAAACATATACGGACTATGATGATAATCGTTTATCGATAATAAATATCGTCATAGTCCACGCCTTACGTTGCTTACGCACGTTGACAATGGCACCCGTGTATCGACACGCTTATAATTGATGGATGCGTAAACGCAATAAACACAAACACAAATGCTGTAGTGTGCGTTTATAGTGACGCAATTTATTTTGTGTTTATAGTGGCGCGATTTAGTTGTGTGTTTTTCTTGCGCCCCCCTGTAGTCAGAATTTTTGTTTAAGAATTAACGCGCATGGCCTCTCCAGTTGGTTGAATACTCAAAGAGTTGAAATGATCAGTTGAACTGACCGTGTGTGTGGAAATTTCTTTGGCTTAAATCCTGGAACTGATATCAGATCGACTGATGACTAACTGACCGTGTGTGGCCACCATTACTCTGTACCGAATACATACGGCTACAGCTTTACTACCTATGTATCAGAATCTATAGAACACTTGCTGATTGCTGACGCTTGGCATAATGGGCAATGAGCGATATGCGCGCTATATGGCCTGCTTATTATACTCTAAGGTACATATATTCTATAAAAACTTTTGTTTTGTTGGGTTGAATGGTCTAATACCCCTATTACACTACTCTAAATCAGGGTGCCCACGCCCTGTTTCAGGGTGTTGTAATAAGAGAAAGGGAGTAAGGGTACCTAATTAGGGCGTCAATGTGGACCCGATCTGCAGTGCCCTTCCACCGTGCAGTGTAATAACACTAAGGGAGTTAGGGCACTTATTCGATGCGCGACTAGGAATTGAAACGATACATCAATTCTTTCAAACAACGATATATCGTTCATAAACATGGTTCTTCATGAGCTATGTTTTATGAACGATGTTTTGCCGTCAAAGGTTACGAAACAACCAACTTGCGAACTTACAAAGTTGCGAACGATGATTATCACGAATTTTATGTTGCCAAAAAATAAATATTCGAAACAAAATATGTCAAGGTTAGATAACGTCAATTTTTTTAAAGTTAGAAGGTTTAGAAGGTTTACGAGTATTTATTAGAAATAACTCAATCCGGAAAATTTTAACTACGAATCAACAAACAGGCGAATGGTCTTTCAGGCGAAAATAAATATAATTGAACTTCAGAAGTACAATTGTCTTCTATTGGCAATTCCATTTTCGATGTAAAATTGTACTTATTTTTATTGTGATAATTAATTAAGATTTTTAGTTTACAAATATTGAAAATGGATTGAAATTGTTTTATACATTTTCTTATTAATAATTATATTGTTTGAGCTTTAACTTAACGAATAGTTTAAGTACAGTCTTATAAAGTTAATAGTTATTTTGTAATAGAAATTATTTTATCGACTTACGGTACTTCGTACTTCGTTACAATCATTTTACTGAAGTATTGATTTTTATGGATGAACGGTTATTCATCTGTTTGTATTTCGGTATAGTTTCGTAGATGTAGGTATTCAGAAAATGCGACAATACTGAAGGTAACATACGGAACTACCATAAAAAATTAACGCACCACATCATAAGAAATAAAACTATAGCAGAAGACGAGTTTCATATATTACGTGTGGGATATCATGAAATGGTTATTTTCCGGGCTTCATAGCCTCGATAAGATCTATTTGCCTATTGTGGTAACTTCGGTATCCCGTGAGCGGTTATTTTCAGAGGCTGGATCTACAATCACCCAGGAGAGAAACCACTTACTAGGCACCAGGTTGTCAAAATTGTTATTTTAAAATTCAATTCGAAAGAAATAAACGTAAAAGTAAAAAATATTTAATTAATTCTTGTTTTCTGATAATTGTTCGATAAAATTAAATGTGTAAATAGTGTAAAACTTCCTGAAATAATATAAATATAATATATGATTATTATACTTCTTTCTTTCATTTCTGTTCAAAATGATTATTTATTCCATATGAAGTTTTATTAAAAACATCGAAAAAATCGATTTATCGTACATGAGCTTCGATGTTTTAAATGAGCGATGTTGCATCCTACAGATGTGCTTACTTGGAAAAATTATGACTCGAGTTAACTCAAGTTCAAATTCACACAACTCGAACTAAACTCGAGTTACGCAACTAGAGATAGCAGGACGAAACACAGTAAATGATTTGTTACAATTACTTTAAAAATATCGATTCAATAAATATATATACTTTTTTCATTTGTTCATCCCTATCACTGAGTAAGGGCTAAAAATCCACCCTGATTTTTTTAAGATAAAAATTTAATAATAAAAATTTGTATAAGATAAAAACCAACCAATTTCTTAACCGCTAAATATAACAGGTTAAATAACGTTAAGCCGCATAACGAATAAATCACTGGTCGTTATCTTATTGTCATTTTTGTCCTTCACTTGACATTTCGCTTCAGTACTCCATCTTGTAAGGAGTGTTAATACGTGTAGCGTTTCTTCATCTTAACCCAAGCTTTAAATTTTCTGGTAAGTAATTTGTAACATTTTTAATTATTGTAGGTACACACACACACACATTACATATGAAGATCGAAAACTCATTAGTATAATTAGTGTAATTGTAATATAATAAGTGACTCCACGTACTTAGGTAAGTGATATAACTACTTGCGGTGAGACGATTTTAAGCGTGTCTTTTCTACAAATTGTCGAAGAAATAAACAATACGTGATACAGAGAGGTATATTAAGCTATTTGTTTATATGTTATTTCTACAGTTTCACTTGACCTCTATTTCACCTTCATACGCCGGTAAAGTACCTACTTATATATTATGCCAACCTACTCGATTATGATACACTCTATTTAGAAACTGGATGCAAATGAAAATTTAAAAACATTTGAATAGGCTTAGCATAAATAACTAACAATAATTTACACAATTACATACAATTACAATTTACATATTGAGGTGTGCTGTTAACATCTAGTAACTAAAAGAGGAAAATAATTTTATAAATATAATTCAAATATTTAACTATTCAAATTAAAATATAACTTAAGTTACTTTTCTCTTAACTACATATGATTTATTTTATGAGTAAGTATATAGACAATTCAAAAACCAACCTTTTTTCTCTCTAATTATAACACTAAACTTCCTATTTGTAGGACCAAATGAATTTTATATCATCATACCTGAAAATGCTGTAAAATTACATGTCAGTAACATAAACAAGTGGTAAAATTAAGAATTTTGTAGAACTGACTTCAATATTAATAAAATGAGAACAGCATCAATGTAGTTGAGTCAAGTAAATATGCGTTATATGGATAACTCAAAAGCTACTTACTGGTCAGATCTTGATCAAATTTATATGGAACCACATGAGAAGTACCAGCTATCAATTAAAAAAGAGTCATCAAAATCAGTTGACCTAGAAAAGAGTTCTGAGTAGAGAATTTAGAACATCCTCCTTTTTTGAAGTCGGTTGAAAAATGATTTTTAGTATTCTGTTATTTTATAGGATTTAAATTCTTATACATATTGTCACATCTACCAAGTGTTTGCAAATAATATATGGAAGTATTACTTAAAGGGAATTAAAGAGCACAACATTGCTCCAAGTCTCAAACAAACAAACTCCAGCAATGATTAGCTGTTTATTATATTTTATTATGAATTTGGACTCTGTGTTGACCTTATTTCAAAATTCAAAATTCTTTATTCAGTATCTTAAATTTAAATACATTAACTTTAAATACATTATTTCCCAGTAGTTTTTTGGTTTTAATGGCTCCAATGCAAATTATTTTTTTATTAATCATTATTATGATAGTGCCAATATAATTGCTAATACCACTGTGCTTGAGATTGACCACTCAAGAAAAAATCAATCTAAATATCCTTTCATAATGAAAGGATATTGAGAGAGGTGTAATAGATATTACATCACATAAAAGTCCACTGCTGAATACCATACCTTAACCATAGTTTCCACACTTGGCAGGCATGTTGACAACTTAAATTTTTTAACTTCTCAGTGGGAAGTTATTATAATGGGTCCAATTTTGCAAATTTTAACATATCTCCACATTTCAAGGTCTTTGGAGTCAAATAGTATGGTTTTTAAGAAGATGTCTGTGTCTGTCAATTTTCGCCTCATGTATCTCGAGAACAAAGACTGATATTGACATAGGACCAGTTTCATTCAATGCATATTTATGTAACTTAGACCTCATTAAATTTTGAGCAAAATCGGTCTAGTGGTTTTTTGTACCGAATGAAAAATTGTATAAAATATTAAAACATGATATTTTTTATTCTTTCCACCAGGAAGTTGGTTGTGTGGACCTTTCGGGTTACATCTAGACCGCTTTTTATTATTTCGAGTTATTAGGAAAATTCTTTTCTCTGTTGCCTTGTATGATGCTTACAAAATAATATGCCATAGTGGACATTTTTACACTACCACTACATGGTTAAATTATTATATGGCAAGTTCATATAGAAACAGACCTATTCCAAAAAAAAAAAATATGTGTTAGAACCATGTGGCAGCTATTTTATTATGGTTGTACGGCACTGAGGGCAAATAATCTTACGCTCACCAGATGTGCTAGTTGACCCTGAGGTGAAGTTTTTTGTTGCACAATGTCATTTAATTGATAATTTAGATTTAAATTAAAGTTTATTCATTTCTAGAAACAAAACGATGACTCAGTAGTTTGTTTTTCAATTATTTGCATATTTTTTTTACATTTTCTATTATTATAAATATATGTTGTTTTTTATTTATTTTTAATCTAATTAATATAAAATATATCTAATGATACAGAAAAAAACATTAACCTTTCATTTTTAAACAAATTAAATTCCCCACTATAAAAAAGTCAAATTCTGTCAAATATTTTAAATGGTGCTGCCCTGGCAGCAGGTAAAGTCATGGATGCCCTCAGTGGGTCGGCTAGACCAGGGAAGGACCACACTCGTAGAATACTAGTGTGAATTTAGTGCTGATGTGTTTTGTATAGTGAGTGTGGAGATCTGTAGACCCTTTCTATTGAAAAAGAAGCATTCCATTTTCTTCAGGGCAACTAGACAACACATCAGTATTTTGATTTTCAATTGAGGTTAGATTTAGATGTGTATGTGTCACAGCATCCACTTACTGTTAGGTGAACTCTGTGCTCCCAAACTTTTTCTTTCTTGAGAAAGGGTGACACAATTTTTCAAGAAAAAAAGTTATCACTAGCGGTAGAATATCCCTTTTTCCTTACAAAAACTGACAGCTGTCTAGAATGTCTTATTCAGCTAACACTACACTACTGTTGAGTTGCGTTTATGGTACAATTTTAATTTAACACATTATTAACGAATTTTCAAAAAATTTATAAATCTCAAAAGCAGGTTTTTTGCATTTAAATATTTTGGTATTTGATACATCAACTTTGTACTGTAACTAGCTGATACTGTCAGGTGTATAGTTTTAAAGATATTGATGAATCAGTTAGTGGTATTAATATATAAAAATATGAACCCAATACTTGGGGTTGCTGTTTCTAAAGTAAAGTCACGTTCTGTCTCCCGGAGAGGCGAAAAGTGGATTGCAGAGGCCCGTCTGGCTATGTTGAATGTATGTGGGGCAATGAATGATAAAATGGATGAAGTATGCGATATGATGTATGATAGAGGAATAGATGTGTTATGTGTAAATGAGACGAAAAGGAAGGGGAAGAATGTCACTACACATGGCATGTATACCGCATACTGGTCTGGTGTAGATGAGATCGAGCGGGCATGCCAGGGAGTAGGTATCATCCTTTCAGAAAGAATGGGCCAATGTGTGAAAGAGTATGAATGTGTAAGCCCAAGACTGCTATGGATACGAATGAAAGTGGGCTTAAAGAAGTTGTTTGTGTTAGGGGTCTACGCCCCAGACATGTCTAAGCCCACTTATATCCGAGAGCAGTTTTGGGAAATGGTAAGGATGGTTTTAATGAAGTGTAAGGGAAATGAAAATATTATGCTAAGAAATTTTAATGGAAGGGTTGGGGTGAGGAGGCTTGGTTATGAAAGGATATTGGGAACGTTTGGTGAAGAAAGTATAAATGAGAATGGTGAAAGTCTCCTCACCGTATGTATGGAAAAGAATCTTTTTGTGACGAACACTTGCTTTCGCCACAAGAGGATTCACATGTACACTTGGGAAAGAGGTGACGATAGAAGCATGATAGATTTCATAATTGTGAATGAAAGATTGATTGGCGCAGTGGTAGATAGTAGGTAGTAGACAAGGGTTTACTGGGGTTCTAACGTAGGAACGGATCATTATTTGGTTTTGTGCCGAATTAATGGTCTATTCAGGCGTTGGCGCCATCGATCATCTGTGTCTACCACTGCGTTACAGCGTATTAGAACAGAAAGGTTACAAGATGAAGGTGAGAGAAACAAGTTCAAATGTAGACTGAAAGAAAATATAAGTGGTTTGGATGAATTATGTATGAAGGATAATGATTTCTTATATTTACGCGAACATTGCACATGATTAAAACTACTTTTACGGATTTTATCGCGTTTATTTTTACTTTTTATTTTTAATTCCCGACGTTTCGCCTACGTCACAGTGACCGAGTGAAGCCGGCCACAGTCGAACGTGTGGCTGCTGTACTGCCATATGTCAGAGGTGTCACAGACAAGATTGGCTATATCTTGAAGCGAGCTTCTATTAGTACATTCTACAAGCCGCCGAAGAAGATTAGTCAGTTCCTACCATCCGTCAAGTGTCATATTCCTTTACAAGATGCAGGAGTGTACAAGCTTGATTGTGAATGTGGTCTCTCTTATATAGGACAAACCAAAAGATCAATTAGGACCCGCGTAAAAGAACATATAGCTGATGTGAAGCATCAACGTTCCGGGAAGTCTGCAGTTTGCGATCATATCCTAGACGGCCCCAACCATTACATCAGATTTGATAGACCACAAATCCTCGCGAAAGAACAGATTCCAAGGATGATACGTGAGGATTGATAACATCCTAATTTCAATAGAGAAGGAGGCTGGGTACTACCACCTGCTTGGGATCCTGTAATCAATAAAATTAAAACTAAACCCAAGCATACCACTGCAAGACCTCAGGACATAGTCAGTTCATTTTGCATAGATCGGACCATAAACAATAACTAAAAAAGCTGAAGGTACTCCGGGTTTAACAATGACATCGGGACGTCAGTCATCTCAGTCCCTCGTGACCATGGGTGCTGGAAAGCGCCCGAAACGTCGGGAATTAAAAATAAAAAGTAAAAATAAACACGATAAAATCCGTAAAAGTAGTTTTAATCATGTATGAAGGAGTTAGACTTGGAGAATGTATGGCAAAATGTAAAGAAAGGTTTAGTGGATGCAGCTACCGAAGTATGTGGTGTTAGTAAGAGGAAGAATGAAAGGAAAAATAATATGTTATGGTGGGATGATGAGATACGTATGGAAGTTGAAGCAAAGAAGAGAGCATGGCTAGATTTACTAGCAACAAAGGCTGGTCATTCTAGCGGTACGAATGATGATATTGAAAGAAAAAAGGCAGTCTTTAAACATCTTAATAAGAGAGTAAAAGAAGTAATTGAAAGAAAAAAGCAAGAAAGAACGGATAAGAATGATAGAAGAATATCGGATAACTTCCAGGCAAATATTAAAATGTTCTGGAAACTTGTAAGAACTGCCAGAGGACATTCAAAACAGCCTATGATGAATGTTATAAGAGACAAGAATGGCTATATTCTGAAAGATGAAGTTTTGTGTTTAAAGAGATGGAAGGAATATTTTGAAAGCATGTTTATGAGTGAGGAGACAATGTGTGTACTAAGTGAAGTAGAAACTCCGAAAGAAGAGGAAAGAGGTAGCGAGATAAGTATAGATGAAATAATGAAAGCAGGTAAGGCTGCCGGATATGATAGAGTTTCACTCGACATGCTAAGGGCTGGAGAGGAAGTCGTGGCAGGCCTGCTGCACACCTTGTTTAATTTATGCTGGGAACTGAAGCGGGTACCGGTAGATTGGTGCAAAGCCGTGATAGTCCCAGTATATAAAGAAAAAGGGTCGCAGCAGGACTGTAAAAACTACCATGGCATCAGCCTTCTTAGCATTGTGGGAAAACTGTATGCTAAGGTACTGATTGAAAGGGTCATGAAAGAAACTGATGGAAAAATTTGGGATGTGCAAGCGGGATTCAGAAAGGGAATGGGATGTACAGATTGGTCGAAATGCGGTCCTTAAGGAGTATGTTAGGGTTGAATCTGAACGACAGGGTAAGAAATTGTGTAATAAGAGAATAGTGTGGTTTGCAAGATGATGTTGTGACCAGGATTAAGAAAGGAATGCTTCGGTGGTTTGGTCATGTGGAAAGAATGAATGAGAAAAGAGTGTCAAAGAAAATTTATGTTGCAGAAGTGAATGGCAGAGTCGGAAAGGGACGTCCTAGGCGAAAATTTATCGACCAAATTGGCGATTTATTGAAAACGGGCCAAATTAGGAGTACCCTTAACCGACGAGCATGTATGCGTAGGTGTATAGATGTGAAGGAGGCGAGAGAGGTGTGTCAGGATCGTGCCAAATGGAAGTCTCTACCTACCCCTCTGGGTAACAGGCGTGAGTGTTTATGTACGTATGTTTCTAAAGCTGAGCTTTTAATTTTCTAAGTTTAATTTTACTGCTTTAGGGTGTAGGTTTTGTGTAAATAAGTTTCATTAAAATTTCCCAAATTTTTTTCATTAAATTTTAATGGAATGCAGTATAACATACTTCACAAAAAAGAACAAAAATCTATTCACAATCTATGAAGATAATGTATAATAATAATGTATAAGTTATACATGAAATGTTTATGTGTTATGTAATTTTAATATTTTTTTCTTATTTACAGCAACAATGTCGAAGATTGGTATTAATGGATTTGGCCGTATTGGGCGTCTGGTACTTCGTGCATCCATTGAAAAGGGAGCCCAGGTTGTTGCTGTCAATGACCCTTTCATCGGTTTGGATTATATGGTCTATCTTTTCAAGTATGACTCAACACATGGCCGCTTCAAGGGAACTGTGACTGCCGAAGATGGTTATCTTGTAGTAAATGGAAATAAAATTGCTGTCTTCTCTGAGAGAGATCCTAAAGCAATTCCATGGTCAAAGGCAGGTGCTGAATATGTTGTGGAATCAACTGGTGTTTTCACTACTACAGACAAAGCATCTGCCCATTTAGAAGGAGGTGCAAAAAAGGTCATCATTTCTGCTCCCAGTGCTGATGCGCCAATGTTTGTAGTTGGCGTCAACCTGGAAGCTTACGACCCATCTTACAAGGTTATCTCTAATGCCTCCTGCACCACTAACTGCTTAGCTCCCCTTGCTAAGGTTATCCACGATAACTTCGAAATTGTTGAAGGATTAATGACAACTGTCCATGCCACCACTGCCACCCAGAAGACAGTCGATGGTCCTTCTGGCAAGCTCTGGCGTGATGGACGCGGTGCCCAACAAAACATCATTCCTGCTTCTACTGGTGCTGCTAAGGCTGTCGGTAAAGTGATTCCCGCTCTGAATGGTAAACTTACTGGCATGGCTTTCCGTGTTCCTGTAGCCAATGTATCCGTTGTTGACCTCACTGTCCGCCTTGGCAAACCTGCCAATTATGAAGCTATTAAACAGAAGGTGAAAGAAGCAGCTGAAGGACCTCTTAAAGGTATTCTCGGATATACTGAAGATCAAGTTGTATCTTCTGACTTTATTGGCGACTCACACTCATCTATTTTTGATGCCGCTGCAGGTATATCCCTAAATGACAACTTTGTAAAACTTATCAGTTGGTATGACAATGAATATGGATACTCTAGCCGAGTTATTGATCTCATCAAATACATCCAGAGCAAGGATTAGATTTAAATTAGTACTTTGAAACATAAATGTAATTGTCGAGATTACCGATGCTTATTTTTTTTAAGTGTAGTCGTGTATTCTAAATTATTAAGCTACTTTTAAAAGTAGTCATGTGCTTGTGTAAGTGATTATTTTCTTTTTTAAGACAATCATGTTATTTTAAACCTAAGGCAGATAATATATGTATTAAGAACCATATTAAAGTGGAAAATCAATCAAATTTTGTTTTATTTAAAAGAGAAAAGCCTTAGATAGTATATTGGCACTTAACACACACTTTATATTTGTTAAATTTTAATAATTTTGTAACATGTTGCCATAAAATGTTGAATACTACCCGTCTTATCCACTCCCTTTATCGTAAAATTCTTTGAATATGGTTACTGTCACAAAATCAATTAAAATATTATTTTTTGCATTGATATATATATATATATATATATATATATATATATATATATATATATATATATATATATATATATATATTTACACTAGATTAGTAATTACCGCGCCAAAGCGTTTTTTTTAAATGTCAACCTAACAATTACTGCCAACCTCCAGTCACTAAAAATACTTGTAACTTGTAATGAAATAACGGACAATTTAAAGAGAAACTGCGATTCTGATTAAAAACCGAAAACAAAATCATAATGTTAAGAACCATAGAATACTATAATAATGAATCATGAAGTGACTTGTACTGAAGTTTATTAAATAAATGACTGATAATATATTGAATTAAAATAATACTAAACTCAATACCACATTTAAAATAATACTAAATAAAGACGATTGATTGCTAAATAATGAATTAAATTTTATAACTTAATATTATTTAAATCTAAAAATTCCCATAAGACAATTGAAAACATTTTTACATTTTTTAGAAAAAATTAAAAGAGAACGAATTTCTGTAGGTAGAGGAAATTTTAAGATTTACCAAAGTGTTAAATAATGAAGTATCCATACTAATATTATAAATGCGAAAGTGTGTTTTGTTTGTTAGTCCTTCTTTCACGTCGCAACAGAAAGTCAGCATGGCATGATTTTTTGTATGGGGATAGTTCGGTGGCTGTAGAGTGACATAGGCTACTTTTTTCAGCGGAAAAACATATTATTCCCGTGGGAAAGTCGAATATGTTGCAAAATTAAATTCAGCTAGGTGGCGCCACCGTGATTCTACAAGACGGACGACGGTACGATGGACGAACACAGAAGGTCAGAATATCTGGATTATTATGTCTTTTTACCAAAATTAACCTGTTTGCTGTTCTTTCTGAGCTAGCGGGAGATAAAAAATGTATGGATCTGTATTTTTCCACGCAGGACCGGGAAGAGAGCGATAAAAACATACAATTCACCAGCTGATTTTCTTCAAACGTTTTGGTGCATTGTAATTCACAGAATAGGCGATAACCTCGCAGACGATATTAAGTAATCCGTTGATGCTCTGCTTACCCCGCAAGGGTTACAGGCGTGATTATAAGTATGGATCAGAAATACTATCACCACCTGTCACGCTTTTACTCTTAACTATTGCTTAACTTCTGTAGAAACAGTTCTTAGTAAGCCTTATTATTAGCCTTAGTAATATTTATTGAACGGAAATGAATACAGTTCTTATATGTGGTTATGAATGAATCGGTATTACAATAAGAAAAATTGTACAAAATTATAAGAAAAATAGAGTTCTTCGAGAGAAAAAAGAAATAGAATTTGAGAGTTCTTACTAACGTATACATAGTTTACATAGTTTAAATTGATTCCGCTAGATGTCGTTACTAGGTTTTTGAAACGCGGTAACGAAATGTTTCCTGACAGTTTAGAGTAGTACTTAACTTCCGCCGTTGAGCCGCGCGTCGACGTATAGTGCATACGGTACCTATACGCTTAAATTGTTTCTATTGTGGTAGCTTAATCGACTACCTGCTTTCGATTTCGATTGTTTGTTATTTGCTTTGTGATTTGGTTAAGGTTGAATGGATTTATATTGGCCTTCATTTTCGGATTTGTGTATTTTCTTGGATCGATTTTGTTGATTTGGTTGGTATTCCTTTATACATATTTAGACTCTGGCTTTGATTTTGGATTTTGTTTATTTAGAATCGTGAATTGGTTTTCGTTGTTTTAGGTTGTTTAACAATATTTCAAAGGAATATTAATAGTACAGATAGTGTATACGGTACCTATACACTTACTTCTTTTTTCGTTGGTTATATTTATATTGACTACTGCTTTCGATTTCGGTTTTCTGCGATTTGTTTTGTGATTTGGTTTAAGTTGATTCGAATTTTTTGGCTATCGTTTTCGGATTCGTGTTGTGTCTTGAATTGGTTTTGTCGTTTTGATTTTAAAAAATATTTAAAAGGAATATTTATTCCTTTTAGATATTTTAGATTTGCTTTTAAAAAAAATATTTAATAGGAAATTTAATTCCTTTTAGGTATTTTAACGTTTTTTTTATAAATAGGTTTTTTGTTACTTCATAATGCCTCGCAAACGTAAGTTCAGCCTTTCAAGAGTATCTTCTCAGAGACAAGCGAAAAGATTAGCTCGATCGCTAGAATCTTCAAAAGATGCTGAACTGAGAAGGCAAGAACAAGCAGAGCGTCAGGCTGCTTTTAGAGCATCTAAGACACCTTCTCAACGTCAGCAAAGGCGTTTCGAACAGAGAGCGTCAGGTGCGAGCTTCCGAAACACCTTCTCAAAGTCAGGAAAGGCGTCTTGAACAGGCAGAGCGTCAAGCTACTTTAAGAGCTTCTGAAACATCTGCTCAAAGTCAGCAAAGGCGTCTTGAACAGGCAGAGCGTCAATCTACTTTAAGAGCTACTGAAACACCTGCTCAAAGTCAGCAAAGGCTATTCGAACAAGCGGAACGTCAGGCCCCCTTAAAAGCCGCGGAAACATCTGATGAAACTCAACACAGACTCATTGAGCAAGCTGAACGTCAATCTACTATAAGGGCATCTGAAACAAATGCACAGCTCCAAGCTGAACGTCGACAAAATTTTCAAAAGAAACAATTGGTCGGTTTTTAATGACGCAGCATTCAATTATGATCCGTTGATTGATTATAAAATCACAGGTTAGTTGTTATCGGACTGATGGACAAGGCGTGTCAATTTTGCAGCGCTTTAAAATGGAAAGATGAGACCGCAGGCATGTGCTGTTCTAATGGCAAAGTGTCTCTTCCGTTACTTGGGGAACCAGAAGAACCTTTGAAAACTCTCATTTTATATGACGCTAATGTGTCACGGCGCTTTTTAAACAGGATCCGGAAATATAACTCATGCATTGACCGGGAAATAATAATACCGAGATTTTCGCCTACATTTACGGTGCAAGGGCAAATTTATCATAGAATAGGTTCACTTTTTCCAGCTGAATACGAACAGCATAAATTTTTACTTGAGGTAGACCGTCGCTGCACATTTATCGAGGGAGTTGAGAGAGACACAGTGTTCAAAATTCAAAGATTCTTGCATGAACGTAACATTTTAGTCAAAACATTTAAAACTGCTTTAGAAAACCTACCTGAAGAGGATTATAAAGTCGTCATTCACGCAGATCGGACCCCTCGAGGAGAGCATGAAAGGCGCTACAATGCACCTTTGATAAACGAAATAGCAGCCGTAATTAGTGGTGATCAATTTTCTTCACGGGACATTGTCTTGCGAGCACGTGATGATACGTTGCAACGGGTAGCCGATACACACAAGTTTTATGACGCTCTGCAATACCCATTGATTTATTGCAAAGGACAAGAGGGTTATCATTTTCAAATTCCACTCATTATCCCGGTCACAAAGGAGCCTACTCCGAACAAAAAAGTATCATGTATGGATTTTTATGCATATCATATGATGTTGCGAGAAAATGATTTTTACCTCTTAGCCCGGTGTAGACAATTATTTCATCAATTTTTGGTAGACATGTATGTGAAGGTAGAAAGTGAACGTCTCCGTTATATATCTTTAAATCAAAAAAAGCTGCGCATTGAGAATTATATACATTTACAAGATGCAGTTTCTAGCGACGCCAATGTAAACCCCAGAGATTTAGATAAAAATTCTGCCCTCATCATTCGTTAACAGTCCCCGCTACCTACATGAGTACACACAAGACGCATTCGCCTATGTACGAACTTACGGAAGACCAGATCTTTTTGTTACTTTTACTTGCAATCCCACATGGAAAGAAATAACCGAGGAGCTAATGCCGGGCCAAAAAAGTACTGACAGATACGATTTAGTTGCTAGAGTTAAGATTAAAAGTACAAAAATTAATGTACGTAATTAACAAAGGGAAATTTTTCGGAGAGGTGCAGTGCTTCATGTAATCAATTAAATGGCAAAAAAGAGGATTACCGCATGCCCACATTCTAATATGGCTTAAAGAGAAGTTGCGGCCCAGCCAAATAGACGACATAATAAGCACCGAGATTCCGGATCCTGAGCAAGATAAAGAATTGTATGATACCATCGTCCGAAATATGATTCACGGTCCATGTGGAGCACGAAATTCAATATCGCCATGTATGAAAGAAGGAAAATTTACAAAGAAATTTGCTAAACAGCTATTAAAAGAAACAGTGCACATTAACAATGGCTACCCTTTATACAGACGCAGAGCTCCCGAAGATGGTGGCAGGAAAGTTACAATCAAATCTCGCTCTGGAGCGTTCGAAACCTTAGATAACAGCTGGATTGTCCCGTATTCGCCCATTCTATGTAAAATGTTTAATGCCCACATTAATGTAGAAGCATGTAGCTCTGTCCGCGCAATCAAGTATATCTGTAAGTACATAAATAAAGGAAGCGAGCAAGCAATATTTAATCTCAGGAGTGAAGGTGAGGCAAATCCCGTTAATGAAGTACAGACCTTTCAAACAGGGCGTTATGTCAGCAGTAACGAGGAAGCGTGGCGTCTCCTTGGATTCCCTTTACACAAAAGGCACCCAACAGTTACTCACCTTGCTGTGCACTTAGAAAATGGAG